GTAGACAGTGAGTAATTGATCTGCAGTCAGAGAGTATTATTGAGCACGTTCGTTGTTATAGCGTTTGTTTTAGCGCGATTGTTGAAATTAAGTGTATCGTAACGTTATATTCGGAAAGAATAAACCAGTTTTATTAAGTAAGGACTTGTGTCGCTAAAGTTTCGTCGGGACGAAGTTACGGAAAGTTAATTAACAAACGGAGACGTAACACTATTATAACCTTATGTTTAGTGCATTGCATTTTAAAACCTTGGAGAACAAAATTTATTAAAAGCTGATATAGCTAAAAAATAAAATACAAAAGCGCCTAAGTTGTTTCGAATTTATTCAAATTTTCCCCGCTTACATTGTCTCGTTGTTTATAGGTATGTTTACCTGAGGGAGGGTCAGGTTCACTTCGTACCTCTTCCTCCACCTCTATTTCCTCTCACACAAGCTGACGTTTAGATAGCTGTAATCTTAAAAGTTCGTTTTGGTATCGCTGTGGTAAATATGTATTCCGCTAAAGTCTGCATAAGACTACATTTCCACACCTTACACAGCCATGTGCATATATTGAATACAGTTGTCTCATCGATTAACACTAAGCTGTTATGTTGTTCATAATAGTACTTTCTCTACACAGAAAAAACAGTCTCACTCGTACACTTTGATGTGCACAAATATTAGTTTGCACACATGGATACCTTTTTTTAAAAAACAATGAAACTAACTATGTATCTACAAGTCAGCTAGTCTAGCAACAAGTGGCCTTTTGTTGAAATTTATTCATTAGATTCAGAAAAGAAAAGAACTTAAGACTATACTCGTCATGTATGATGTAGTTATCTAGGTAGCTTAGAAGCTTGTTTTTCAATCGAGCTAGTTAGGAGACTTTCTGACAATAATAGGATGTTAGATTATTTATGTGGGAAAGTAGTGATTGTTGTGTGTGGTGCTCTGTATGCTTTTGTTAGAATGTAGTTTTGTAATTTCAAGGAGTGTGTTTTTGAAACATTTAGTCAAGCTCGGCATATATATACAATTACAGGATGTACATTACTTGGTAAATTCTAAGAATGTTGTCTGTAGATGTAACTCCATTATTTCCAGCTAGACCTTTAACCTGACTAGCTCTTCTCCGAGGTTTCGTTTTGAGACACTTGACATGTTCAAATCAGGGTAATTTGGAGTCGTATATCAAGACTCGTGGTAGTGTGTGGTGCAGCCAAAACAACCTGCAAAGACACACTGTGTTATTAACAGGACTGACAGTTTAGACATTTTCCACTTTTTGTAGCTCGGAGTGCAGTAATACAAACAATTTTAAGTTGATGTGCTCTATTGGACCCTTACTTCACATACCAAATTTCAAGGTAATCCATTAAGAAATACACGAGATATAAAATCTCCAATTTTGGTTGAATTTCTTGCTTTATTTTTTTTTTCTACGCACAGAAAATACGGAAACTTTATTTGATAGAAAAACACTTAATTTTCATGGATTGTTTTCAAATTTAGTACACCTATAGATCTTTACAATCTACAATTACTTGTCAAATTTAGTCTAAATATAACCCACGAGTGAAAAGTTATTCAACATACATAGCTCAATTTTGACCAAAAGTTTTGCGCTACGCCTATGCAAAAAGTCACGTGAGCTATCGGGCTGCAATTTTTACCACAGTTCCACCAAAGTGTAACAATGTACCGTTTTTAATTTTTTCGTCATTCGGATTAAAGATGGCTGATTGTTTTGCCTACCATCATGCCCCAAGTTGAACAAAAACACGGCCTAGCTAACTTTTGAAAATAATTACTGAATTTTTTGCATTTAATAATTATGTGGAAGATGAAGCGTTGGGTAATCCTACCCCTGTACTGGTAATCAGTTTATAGCTAAAAAGGGAAGAATAAACGACAACGTCATTTGAGAATGTTAGGTATTACTGAAAAATAATATTAAACATGCATTACTTAAGACGTCACATACATACGCATATTTTGTTAATTATGTGTTGCAAGTTTGGACACAAGGGGAGGTCACATCGTCATTAGTTACTATAGTATATGTTTGTAATTAAGCACAAAGCTACACAATGGGCTATCTGTGATCTGCCCACCACGGGTATCGAAACTCGGATTTTAGCGTTGTAAGTCCACAGACATACCGCTGTGCCACTGGGTGGCTATGGTATATGAAATTATAAACTAGAATATGTAGTTAAAGCAAGATTGATAGCAGGGCTGTAACCTGTTTTTAACTAAAGCCCAAATCATATGGAACTTAAGCAAACAGTTATACTATTGTGCACACTTTTATACAAGTGAGTCTGCAACAATTACTTGAAAACAGTATTTAGCAAACTAATAGAGAAATTCAGTTTTGTATTTCAGTAAGACATCTGACCCCCTCCCACCCCCCAAAAAAACTAGTTGACAGTGCTTTTTAGGTGTAGTTTTAAAACTAAATTTTAACAACATATACAATTGGAAAAACCCCAGGTAGATCAGATAATATCTTTTTTTACCCTGAATTTAATGTTCTATGTTATTGGTGTGTAGGTATACAATTTTATAAATTAAAATCCCATTATGTATTTCTAACAGGCTTTCTGGTTCTACTTTTGTAACATAGAGTAGAAGTAGCTGAATTTTACATCATATTTTATTTACAAGAATATCACTTTATGACTGGAAATCAATGACTACTACATTTTTAGGTGGAGTTCCACAAACTGTGTGATCCTTAAAGGATGCACACCCTTGGGAAAACTAAAAATTTAAATTCACCCGTCTTTTCGTGAAATCAATTATTCCTCCTTGACAGTCATGTCAAGTGCTGGCCTTTAGTACTACCAATCACAACTTATTCCACAAGTCAATCACCCTGTTAGAAAAATACAACTTTCTCAAATAAAGTGCCTAGCCTATCTTTTCTAAATCTTACATATATGTCCCCCTGCTCTATTATGTTCAGAATATAGTACTAAAAAAAAACATTATGCCTATACCCTATTGTAATATTGTAAGCTTCAATAGGATTACCTCTTATCCTTTCTTTCTCTAAGAAAATAACTTAAAAGATATTAGTATATTTCTGAAATCATCTTAGTACCCTTTTCTAAACCATTTCTAATAAATAAAATCTGTTCTCAGAAAAGAAGAGTACAACTATACACAGTATTCTGATTGATACCTAACTAATGATTTGTATAAAGACAATTACTTCTTGAATCAGTATGTTCATATATTTAAACTTAATTTTAATGGCTTTACCGCTAGTAAGAGAACACTGCTTGATGGCTTGAGTGACTTAATCACCACTATTCAAGATCCCTTCTTCAGCCATGCTATTGCATTGGTTCCCATCTACATTAAAAGTAAGATACAAGTTCTGATAACCCAAATGCATTACACTGCACTAACTGTAATAAAAGACCATTTGTCAATTTTTTGATTAACTTACTAATTGATTTTAGTCATTCTGCAATATCTAAACATTAGAGATACCAAAGAGCTTAATATCATTAACAAAATTTTCTAATCATACCCCTATCTATAGCCTTAATGAAAATAAGAAAGAGCAAGGGCCCAAGCAACCAACTCTGAAAGTACTCCACTAGTAACAAGGGTCCAGTTTTACTGGACTCTATTAATAACAACATTTTACCTCATCCCATCAAACCACCCTACAATCTAATTAACTATTCTTTTCCCAATTACTACTAATGTAGTCTTTGAATAAACTATATCCATACTTGTATGACTCTTGTATCTGGATCTATAAAAGCAAATCATAGAGTTGATATTCAATATAACCAAAGGCAGCCATCATTTTGTATTATTGTCCTAGATTGAAATAAAGCAGTTATCTACCTGGTCAAAACCACAGACATGAGACTACATAGTCTGTGTGAAAAAAAATATATATATGTAAACAGTTGTTTTGGTGAGTGAGCTGAATAAACTGAAATGGCTTTAATTACCATACTGGTTCCTATGAGCTAATCTCTAAATTACTAGTAAACAGAATCACTTAAGTAACAATATATATTGTTCTTTGATATGATTTCAGTTAAGCTTCATTGTAACTTTCATACCTTTCACAAATATTTAATTTTTCACAACTTATCCTTCTAAAGTTTACATTATGCAAGTTGAATTTCAATGTTAATAAAATAACCTTTGAAGAGATAGTTTCTGCAACTAGTTAAATATTTTATTCACATCCTAAGCTTTTTAAGTTCAATGTTATTGTCATTTACTATTTCACAAATAAATAATGTAAATAAATCATTACAAATTCCAACTTTCTGGCCCACTTCATAAATGCAGTTTGCATTATTAAATATTTATTTGAGTGATATAAACTCAGTATCTTTCTAAATCTTTATGTACATATTAAGTTTATAAATGACCAACACAATTTCATGGTTCAACAACTTGACAGTGTGTGTGTGTGTATATATATGGCTTAACAAAATTTTATCTATCAAAAGAGGTCCAAAATATGCATCACTTAGTCAGGAAACCTGTGGGCCAACAAGATTAACAAAAAAATAATAATGTAATTGGCCAAACAGAGCCAATTAGAATTTTAAGCATTCTTCCTATTTTACCTTGTCAACAAATGTGCTTTACTATACTTTTTTTCCTCAAACCATAGTTGTGTTTTCATTTTGTGACAGTATCATTTTTTTACTTCAATCTCTCACTCCAGTTTGTTATTTTCTTTTAAAGGTACCAAGTGTTAAAAGATTTTAACCCACATGGAAATGACCAATCAGCTTCTTGTGGACCACATGTGGTTCTTTGAATGCTTTTAATAATGCTTGCTGCCATTTTTGAAAGGTGTGGTTCTTCTGGCTACTGAGTTTTAAAAGGTTGGTGACACCTCAAATAACAATGGATTAAATGCAGTGTTCTACAGGTTCATATATTCCATGCTTGTTTATTAAAACATTATATTAGTTCAGTGCTAACTGAAATCAACAGGTGATAAAAAAAAATCAACTTACCAATGTATGTTAACACTCCAGTTTCCTTTGAATTAAAGAGATATGTAATAGCTATTGACATGTCAAAAAGTTTTGATTCAAAGAGTCTCAATAACCAGGATTCTCGTGGTGGTGGATTTTTTGAAAGTACAATGGGAATCTCAGTACTGTTTGACCACAATAAAGTCTGTGGTACAGCAGCCTGATGATTCTCATCCATCTTTATCTCACTTTCTACATCATCTTTTGTTCTTGTGTTTTCAGATTCCGTTTCCAATGGAACAGCACTCACCTCACAATCTAACTGAAAAGATTCACAACCTAAATGCAGCTCAGAGGAACTGTTGGTTCTATGCTCAGAACCCAGAGATGAAATGTCAAAAGTTGCTGCTCTGGTTGCTCTGTCACCATCATCAGAGTTAAATATGCCACTGTCATCAGAAGCTAGGCTGGTCCTGTCAGTGTCTTTAGTTCCCTCACAGAGAGGAGCAGAGTTTTGAGAGCAGGAACAATATGGAGAAGAGGGGCTATAATTTAGAAGTAACTTAGGTTTGACTAACGTGGATAATTCAGACCCACTTTCTGGAATTCCCTGAAGCACAGAGTCTAGACTACGGTTTCGATGATGTGTCTGGATAGTATTTTGAAATGGCCTGAAGTCCAAACTGTGGTTCCGTTGGTGAGAGGAATGCTGACAGGACTTACCTGGAGAACATGTTCCATGCACACCTACATCAAGTGTCTGCCGAACTCTCTTGACAAGGTAACCTTCTCCACCAAGATATCCTTCAGCCATGGCTGCAAAATTGATTTTTGAAGCTTGTCATGTAGGACATCAGTGGTCTTAAGAGTGGTTTAATGGTCTCTACGGAACCATAACAAACTGATTGCTATCATTTTGTAACTCCCCAATGCTAGAAATAAAAAAAAATACAAATTAGAAATTTATGGTAGTTACTTAAAGCCATAGTATGGTTAAATTAACTTTATGTAGTTATAGATGACATAACAGATAACAACACAAATAAACCTGGAAAAGAAACAATTTGATATTTATACCATAAATTAAATACATGTGAAGGTCCTTGTCTATACCCCCACCCCCAATACGTGTTACTGGTTATTTATAAGTTATATATGTATATACATACAGACATAGGTGCACAGTATGTGTACACACTGGACTCAAGATTGTTTTAACAGTGAAGGAGATATAGACTACAGTAGTAGTATTTGTGGAAGTGTGAAGATGAAAATCTTTCTACATATATACAAGTTTGACCTTAGAAAATCAAAAAATTTCATTTTTTCAAATTACACATTATGCAACTTTTAAGTCATAATGAAACCAGTTGTTGGATTGAACTAACTAATGAATATTTCATAACTTTAGAAGCTTGTTATAAGACACGTATTTCCAAGTAAAATAACGTAAACCATGGCATAAATTAATTATAACAAAATAAAAACCTGTGTTTTTTCTAACCACATTTGTGTGCCATTAAAGTATGTTTGAAGTCTGTTATATAACAATCTTTAATTTAAGAAACCAAAAATATATTTATTCTAAAATATTATCATATGTAAAAACCTTCAACAACTTGTGTGTTAAATTACCACTTCACTATGAAATATAAGTTATTTTTCATATGTTGTAACAAAAAATCAAAGCAGGTTAACACCAAAAAGTTAGCATAAGACATTTCAATGATGAAACAAAAAGATTGCAAACATAGTATCAAGTAAGTTCAGCATACAGGACAAAAGTCATCCAAACAGTTAATGTACTTATCACAAGAAGTGACATAAAATGCCAAAACTCTGCTTGGATCATTATGACTTCACATACATGTTTATATGCAGATTATGTACAGCAAAATAAAGATATAATAGGAATAGGTTATTTTTTTTAAGAGTGGTCGTAAAAAATACTGAAAACAGCCATATTCTGTCAAACTATTTTATATGCCTAATTGTATAATACATTACTTTTTCATTGGTGTTCTTTATACAGACACAACTCATTTAATGGAGATAATGTATATTTTGGTAAATTAAGGTGTGTCATGCATAACTTAAGTTCACATAAAACTGGCCTGTAACACTTTAAACTGCACTTCCTAAAGTTATAGCCCAAATTTTGACTTGAAAATGCTTCCAGTCTACCAGGATGTTAAGAAATAATTTATTAGCTGGCTATTTAATCCAATACAAGATGACACAATAGACTGATAAGTATGTATTTGAATCAGCTTAACACAAAAATACCAATTGACAATGTAGTTGATACTAAGTAGGTTGATATATCACACTGTATTTAACTCTTAGTATAATGAGGAACAACTAAACAACCTGTTTTATACATTGTGCTGTATCATTGTTGTTGTAAGAACAGTGATGTGACAATTTCTATACATACATAATCTCTTGTAGGAGAATGATCATTCTAATACACTAAGTAATATAGACTGAGTGAATTTAGAAACTGTTTATATCTTCTGTTTTTATTTTTAAACGTTGTTTTATGATCCTCTTTCTGTCCCCACAAATATACTACAAAATCTAATCTGACTATGACATTGTGCAATAGGCAGTTATGATACACTGATAAAACTGGTCCAAAGAAGTAACTTAATCTTCAATAAAAAGAATTGTTATTATCTCGTATAGAGTCCATAAGTTCACAGAACAATATAAATATACTACAAGAAGAAATAAATTCACATTTTAGTTTAATACATCGTACAAAAAAACAACATAAAATTAACAAGTTTTGAAGTTTTCTTATAAAAAGACATGCGCAGTAATACATTAACCAACCTGAATTCTAATTTCTATCCCAAACAAGTTTTCTTTAGGGAGAAAATAAATCACAACGAGCAAGTATTATATTTCCTGTTCTATTCATCAAGTACACCACATAACCCACATAAGCTTGGCTCAGTTCAAGTCCTAAAAATCTAATATTCAAAGTTATATATAGGTCACCAAGTTACCTTAAATTAAGATATGTAAGTAAAACTATTTAGTACTGGCATGGTGGTGAGTAGTTTGTGAAATTAAACTAGTACTAACAACCAGTGGTTTAACTCCTTAACTAAGCTCGTAAAAGTACAAATGCATCATCTCATTTGAGAAAAAAGGAAAATCCCGGAATATATACTAATACAGGACTTGGTATATTACAGAAGTATTATTAACATGTACTGATGAGTATTTTTTTCTGTTCTTTCATCACTTTTATTATAAAGCTCACTCAAAATGCACGATTGTGATTAAGTCCTAAATATCTTCTATTTAGATAGATTGTTACGTAAACTGGTCACTTGTCCGTACAGAATACGATAATAATACTACTCCGTGTATAAATCTAAGTTTCTTAATACGAAGGCCTCTACAGGCTTTATTCAAATAACTTGCTATTAATAAAGTACAGTTTTTGGCAATCGTATTTAAAACCAAATTAGCATGGAATCTTAAATTGAAACTACTAAATTTGTAGTTGCCCCCCAGTGGCACAGCGGTGTCTTCGGATTTACAATGCTAGCATCCGGGTTTCGATACCCGTGGTGGGCAGAGCACTGATAGCCCATTATGTAGCTTTGTGCTTAATTACAAACAAACAAATAAATTTGTAGTTTCACCATAATCCGTTTACGACTTGAAGATAAGTTATTAGTAAACTAATAGTAATACATTACTTTTGTTTCTCCTTTTCTTTTGGAAGCATGTTTCTCTGCTTTTTCATCCAGAATTTATATACAGATAATAGGATCACAAGGTATTTTCATTAGAACACTTAGTTACCAGACATTGATTGTTTCAGCATACTCAATTCAAGCGCCAGTCATAAAACAAAAGATAGCCCGCCGTTGCCGATCAATACTTTAAAAGTCTCAGTCAATGACCTCAATACGTTAGCGAAGTTACATAATATGATCCACATTTTTTGTATTAATACGATAAGGATAAGTATTTCTAGACATACTGTCAGTGTACATCCGTTTCTTACAATTCTGATGTTCTTACCGAAAAATATTTTTTATCAGTTTCTGTCATTTATTTGATAAAAATAATAAGAAAATGAAAGCAGAGACAATGCCCAAATTCTGGGGAACGTGACGTTTATATCTTATAAAAAACAAATACACAAACAAATTTTACGCAATGATTTATATGTTACATAAAATTAAAAAATATTAAAACCTATGCATCATATGCCTTACCTCAAGATCTGGTCTGTGCAATAAGAATACAAGTGAGACAGAAATATTCCTATAGCAACATGTTCCGGACCCGTGGTAATTTGTAAACCGCTTCATCACCGTACAAAACATGGAAGGGAATCAACTCTTTTAACTTGCAACATAAGAACCCAGGAACTGAAATAATACAAATCCTAAATGATCCTTATTATTATTGCTCCAGCTGCGATGTGAGTGTCTGTCCCACGGTACTTATGTCTAGTACACGTGCACCAAAAAACTTCTGGAACTAAAATGCGTCAAGGCATTTTTTACTTCTACATTAGAACACGCCCTATAAGGCCTACTACTGCCGTCTAGTGGAAAGCTAGTATATATATGAGAAAATTTAATATATCATATTTTGTATCGGGATTTGGTTATTTCATCATCATAACATCCAAACTCATAAAATCTAATTTGATATATTCCTTAAAATACTAAAGATCGTTTTGAAAGTATATTTTTAAATTCTACAGAAATTATTTAAAATAAATAATTAAAATACTATTTTAACTACTTAATGGTTCTTAATTAGAGAGGAGAGTTGTTTTTTAATTTGTAGGTATTGTGAACCCATAAAAGGAAGGGACGCCGTCTCCAAATTTCCCCTCAATATCTCCCATCTTTTTAGAGGTTCACAATCCCTACAAATTAAAAACAACTCCCCTACCCTAAAAAAAAAAAAAAAACGTCTACCCTTAAATTCAGTTCAGACTAATATACACACATAACCTCCGCATTAAAAATTATTTCAATACAAAGATCGACTACCTAATCTTCTACATAATGGTTCTCTGTAGGTATTGACGGAGTGTAATTCCCCTGCGGCTAAACTTCTACATAATGGTTCTGTGTAGATACTGACGGAGTGTAATCCCCATGCGACTAAGCAGTAAGTTTGAGGCTCATAATGCTAAAAATTGAGTTTAGATACCCAGTGTATGTATAATAGATAGCCCCTTTGTATAGTTTGTGCTTAACAACAAATAAACACAAAACTTATAAAGAAAATGTTTTACTTTATTTTCATTAAAATATCTTACACGTAAACATAATACACGATTACCTTTAATATGTATCTGCGTGTGGAATTTTTTCTAGTGGTAATAAAGTAAAGTATTTACTTTTTTACATTTTGTGTGTAATCAAAATGTATTCGAACGGAATTTTTCTACGAAAGATCTACAGAAAAGCTACGTTTATGTTTTATTAAAATACATGCTCAGATAGTCCTTAAGTATCTTTGCCCCGAAAAATATATAGAGAGAAAAAACGACGAGCAGAAAATAATTCTTATCTACTGTAGATTGCATTTGTTTGTTTATGAATTTTCGCGTAAACTTACACAAAGGGCTCTCTTTACGTTGTCGTCCCTAATTTGGACTGGTATAATAAAATGAAGGGTGCTAGTTAATAGTATTCACCTCCAACCCGTGTGCTATTCTTATCTAAGCGAATGGTGGGACTACTTGACCATCACCCTTATAGCCCACTTAAGGCCTCAAAAAGCAGAGTGATTTATTGCAGCAATTGGCTGCGAAGTATTAACACTTGGATTCAAAGTATGTTTACGCTAACTATTAGACCACGTCCGACTCCTTGCGACGTGTAAATCAAGATACTGGGAGTTAATTAATGTATTTTGGACGATAATTATAAAACGCTGGTAGAAATGGAACAAAACAAGTAAGCTAAAATAAATAAAATATGAATAGATTAACCTCACCATTCAGTTAGACAAAAGTAACCCAATAATTGGCAATGAGTATTTTTGGCCAACCGAATTCCCTCTAGTCTTTCAGTTAAAAATTAGGGTTTGTTTGGTTTCAATTAAGCACAAAGCTGCACAATGAACTATCTGTGTTCTGCCCACCATAGGTATCGAAATCCGGTTTTTAGCATTGTAAGTCCACAGGCCTACCGCTGTGCCACTGGGAAGCTAAAAATTAGGGAAGGCTCTGTGCAGACAGCTATTTATGTAGCTTTGCGTGAAAAATTCTATAAAATAAATAAACTGTTTTGTTTGTTCTTTTGTTTTGTGGAATTTCGCGCAAAGCTGCTCGAGGAATATCTGTCTCCAATTTAAAAATTATAGACTAGGAGGAGGACAGCTAATCAACAGCACTCACCATCAACTCTTGAACTTCTCTTTATCAATGAATTGGCAGAATTGACGGATTGACCATCACATTATGATACTCTCACAGCTGAAAGGACGAGCATGTTCGGTGAATGCAATCGAATCCCCAACCGGCAGACTGGGAGTCGAACGCCCTAGCCAAAAGGCCATGCTAGGCTCAAACAAATTGTAAGGAGCCAAGTGGATGTGACATTAAGTGCAAATGTACTGGAAGAAAACATAAAAAGTTCTTTCCATAACGCCAGTTAAATGCATAAATTCGAAGCAATGTCTCATTTAAATAGTTAGCTTATTCTATTTTCTTTACCCTAAAATATTCGGAGCCTAACGTTTTGGCAAACTATCTTTTGCTTTAATCAGATATGTGGAGCAGTATTTCGGGAACTAATACGTCGCTCCACCAAATCTCTGGAAAAGTGTTACGATATTAAATATTCCGCACTATACGGTATGTTTGAAAACGTTTTGCTAATCTAATGTCCCCTCTCAGCACAACCATGAGCCAGTATTTGATAAAACAATGCCTAACTTTATTGCATCTATGGAATAAAGTAACAGATTCATTCGACTGGAATTGAAGTTTAACAACGAACGGTAGAACGACGGCAATAACAACAAACATTTGACACGTGTGTGTGTACAGTAACAAACAATTAATTCTTGAACTTTTCGGAATATACATATTCCATGTTCAGCAAGCTACAGTGCTTTGCAAAAGTATTCACCCCTATCAATAACATCACATTTTAATGAAATGCAAATAATGTAAATATTTTTTTTAATGAACTTGTTTTTATTCAAAACTCTAATGATCAAACTTAACACTGCTATATGTGAAAAAGGTTGAATGTCAACAAAACCTGCAAAGAAAACATATGAACTGAAATTTGCTGATTACGTTAAGTATTCAGTCCCCTACATCAGTATTTGGTGGAAGCACCTTTGGCAGCAATTACTGCTGTAAATCTTTTTGGATAGGTCTTTACCAGCTTTGCACAGTGGGGTGGTGTAATTTTTGCCCATTCTTCCTGGCAAAATTGCTCCAATTCTGACAAGTTCGTTGGGAATCGTTGATGGACTGTAATCTTTAAGGTCTCGCCATAAATTTTCTATTTGTTTCAAGTCAAGACTTTGACTGAATCACTCCAATACATTCACTTTCTTCTTTTGAAACCACTCCAGTGTGGCTTTGGCCGTGTACTTCGGGTCATTGTCCTGCTGAAATGTGAATTTTCGACCCAGTTTTATATTTTGGGCTGACTTAAGCAGATTTTCTTCTGGGATCTGCCTGTACTTTGCACCACCCATCTTCTCCTCAATCTTGACGAGCTTCCCAGTCCCTGCTGATGAGAAGCATCCACATAACATGGTGCTGCCACCTCCATGCTTGACAGTTAAAATGGTATTGACTGGGTGACGTGCTGTGTTAGGTTTGCATCAAACGTAGCGCTTTGAAGTGAGACCAAAAAACTCAATTTTTGTCTCGTCTGACCAAAAAACCTTCTGCAACATGTCTGCAGTATTATTTACTCCATACAAGATTTAAGATGACTCTTTTTCAGTGATGGCTTCTTTCTTGCCACTCACCCATACAGGTCAGTTTGTAGGAACCAGGATATTGTCAATGTATGGACACTGACTCCAATCTCAGACACAGAACTTTGCAAATAATTCAAAGTAACTGTTGGCTTCACAGTGGAATCCCTAATCAGTTTCCTGCTTGCCCAGCTCCTTGGTTTGGAAGGGCGGCCTGATCTGGATAGAGACTGGGTGGTATGAAACACATTCCACTTCTTAATGATGGCTTTCGCCGTATTCACGGGGATAATCAACGACCTTGACATTTGCTTGTAACCTTCTTCTTGTCTGTTCTTCTCCACCACTTTATCCCTGACATATGTGGAAAGCTACTTGGCTTTGAAAGTTGGTTTGTCGTAGCACCATGTGAGCTGTGGCTTGAACAGATGCATTTACTTTGAAGTCAAGTTAAACCACTTTGATTACACACAGACAGAGACCATTGCACTAATTTTGTGACTTTTCAAACTAATCTTTTGCACCTAAACTGATTTAGAGTTGCCGTAACAAAGGGGTTGAATACTTATGCAATTGAGAATATTTCAAAATACGTCGTCAAAATACTTTTTTGTCTAACAAGGAAGATCCTTTTCAAAAACTTTCTATTTATGGATAATTTTTGTAAGGAGTTTTATCGAAAGGTTTAATAAAATTTGATATTCATATTGTATTCTTATTTTAACATGAAGTCTCACAAGAACATACTAAATGGCTGTTTCTTTTTAATAAGAAATGCACTGTGACAGAACTTAAATGTTCAGTGAAACCTACCACAAATAACGTTATAAAAGGTAATTATATATATATATTATTAATAAAAATCTTTAATTTTTAGAAATATAAATATTTTAACATTCAACCTGTCGTTTATAAATCAATTTGTGCATCATGAGAATTGACCAAGTTACGAAGCAATTAGACCATTGACCATTTACTATCTGAAGTAAATACTTTTTCCGTAACTATAATTCTCTGAAAAGGAATTTTTATTTCGCCTATTATTTACAAATGATAATTGTTACACATTTGTTTGTTTGTTTGAAGTTAAGCACAAAGCTACGCAATGGGCCATCTGTGCTCTGCTCACAACGAGTATCGAAACCCGATTTCTAGCGTTGTAAGTCCGCAGACATACCGCTGTGCCACTGGGGGCAATTATTACACAGACGTCTGTAAGGGTGAAAGTACCAACATTTCAACAGAACCATGCGACATTACAGAAAATTAAGCTGGCTTTCTAAAAATTGCATATTATGGTGTCTTTTTGTTTGAGTATATTTCTTTGGATCAGCGGTATGTTTACGAACTTACAACTCAATGACCTGGAGTTCGATTCCCCGTAGTTGACTCATCAGGCACCTCGAGTGGTTTTACGCTAAAACAAACAAATGCTTGTGTACAGGTGATCTAGTAATAAGGGGAATTATAGTTTGAAATTCGCAAAACTATAAAGTTACACCAATTTTATCAAATATGTGATCCATATTTAAATAATATTACAGGAGGTAATGATT